TCACACACACACACACACATACCACACACACACACACACACGCGCACGCACGCACGCACACATACATACCAAAACACACACACGCGCACACACATACCTACACATACATACCCAAACACACATACATGCTTACACGTACACACACACACACATATACTCATACACACACACACATACACTCATACACTTACACACGCATACACACCCACACATATACATACACACACACACACACAGAGAGAGAGAGAGAGAGAGAGAGAAACACGCGCACGGACTCAAACATACGCACGTACTCAAACACACGTACTCAAACACACGCACACACACTCAAATACTCGCACACAGTTTAGTTTCATACAAATACAATTATATGTCAGACACTGAATAAGAAATCGTATAATATTTGCATATCTGCTTGCAGGTTGAATACAATGTACGTAATTTTTCTTATGACCTTTATCATTACTGTGTTCTGTTCTATTCTATTCTATACTACTCTTCCAAAAGTGATCGTCAGTTTACAAAATTATGAGAATAATAATTATGTAATAGTAAGTCACAGTACACAATAGTGTGCACATAAAAATCAACCTAATTAATGAAAACTTATTGAATTACTCAGTTTTAACTGTATCAGAAAACTAAACTGTGTGAATAGTCTGTATAGGACTCTGCAACAAGCCACATGTGTTTAAAGTTATAATTTGTACTTGGAATGTTTCCTTTTTACCGAACTAATAAGCAGTATAATGTCATTGAACCTAATTTGCTATGTTAAGAGAAGATTTCCTATAGAATAGATACAATTTTACAGTGAACAATTATCATAATTTTCGCGTTCTAATAGGGCATGTACATACCTTCGGAAGGCCCCTCGCGTTATGTCCTTACAAGATTATAAATTGAACATTAAGCTTTACTGTTCGAATGTTCAAACTATGTTTAGATCTATACGTTAGCTCTCATCAAAGACTTTTTTCGATGGCAAATTTAATTAAAAATCATAATATCTATCTTTTCCAAAAATCAGGTACACTACCCTCAATAACTCTAAAATATAATTGTGGACAATGTTTAAATTGCTAATGACATCGTAACACAACCGTTGTTCACGTTTTATCCTTCTAACGGCAATAGTGTGCACACGCCTTTATACGTGACCATATTCATAGGTAACATACAGTTTCTAATTTGACAATAAGATTATATAGCCGCTTAGGTTACTTCAAATATGAACTAAATGATGAAGTAAATACACGGGTCAGTAATCCCCGAGACTTATGTCATATGGCATATGTAGTTTGTCACTGTACTGTAAGTCCTTAATTCCTCCGTTCGTTTTTGCTCAGGGGCGTGACCAGCGATCTCAAAGTAATATTATCAATGATATTATACTTTATAAAAGGCTGAGATGTTACTAAAGATCGCGTCGTGCAGATTCGAAAATGCCCTAATTGGGACTTCTTGCAATCGGTTTGCATCCAGAAAAGGGACCAACGTAACGATTGTGAAGGTGCGTCATTTTAATAAAATTTAGAAAAATGCTGTCGTGTGTATTTAGAAAATGCGTTAATTATGATGTTAACATAAATAAAAGACAAGGACTCTCATGCTACGCGTAGGTTAGCAAACATATTTATATTCTTACTATTTTTTTTTTGTTTATTGAGCTTTGGCTACGAGGCTATCGACTTTAAACCAAATAACAAAATATAAAATGAATGGACTAATCCTAAATACAACAATGTAATAAACAATAAAAAGATAAAAAAATAAAGTATTTACAAAAGGCTAAGTGTTCTTGTGCAGTAATAAATAAATTGTCTGTATTTACAATTTCTTTCCACAAACAAATAAATAACCAGAGCTGTAGATTAACAACAAATGTAAATAACCATTGATTATGTTTCATTTATTTTTCTGTTCATTCTAATAAACAATAGTTGATAATTGAAGACAGAGATAGTAAACGTTTTGTAGCGAGTGTGATAAGGATATATTACCAACTTTTCGAAATGTTTAAAAAAATGATATAAAAAGAAAGTACAATTAGTATAAAACACTCTCTCCAAAACACAATCCAGACAACACTAATCCCAAAAGGGCCTATATATCTATATGATTTAACTGTAAATCACATGAAGTTTGTAATTAAACGAGGGTGATGATTTATGAGCATGTTCTCTCGTTTTGAGAATTTTGATGGGAGTGACGACGCGACGGAACGAACCAAACGTAAAAATAGTGAAAGAAAAGGGAATTTGAAAACGATTCAAAATTTTAAAAGTAAGTGGCCAGGAACCGGTGTAGAGGGTTGTAAAAAGGTGGGGTGAAGATGAAGGAGGTTAGCATCGTCACAACGGTAACCTTGATCTGATGCTGCAAGCAGGGTCATCTGCAGACAGCCCAACTTTAGTAGCAGCTCCTTGTGAAAGAGTTCGTCCAGGAAAGTACTGCCACCTTACCTATTTCTGCCGCCAAGAAGTCAGCGATTACTGCTTGGCCAAGCACGTCTACTAAATAGTACAAGGAGTGGTTGTCTGACACATTACTTTTTTATTTTTAAATAGTATTAACCCGTAACATCGTCCAATTGAAACCCGTCATCTAGAGGGTAAATCTTTGACAAAAATGACCGAGCACAATAAGTCCACAATGGGGCCCACCTATCCCCTACTCTGTTTGATCTCTCTCGTACTTTGCGCAGGCAGGATGCCACCTTTTTTCGCATAAACGCACAATGAAGTTTCATTAGAAAAAGAATAGTAACGTTGTCGTCAATAGTCGCTCAGAAATCAAGTCTCATTCATGCAGCAGCAGTGGAGCTTGTTGTGAAAAAGTTAATCCAGGAAGTACTGCCATTTAACCTATTTCTGCTGCCAAGCAGTAATGTTAGATTTACTGTGTTTCAGTTTTGAAGGGTAAGGGTGCTAGTGAAATTACAGGCACATGGGACTTGTCAACTTATGTCTCAGGGTGACTGGCGCAACGGCAGTGCCCCTCAGATCTTTGCGATTTATAGCTCCCAGGCGCACGACCTGTTCGTCCCGTCATTTGATATTATTAAAGAAATAAAAATGCCTCAACCACATTCGGTACTACTATCGGGGTTTTTAAAATTAGAATTTACGTTTTGTTCTATTTCAATTCCTAATTACTTCACCTCAGGTAAAGTTGGAGTCCTCAAATAACTTTAGTGGGTAATTAAACGAGGATCGAGATGCGAGATAGCGGGTTCAGTTTCCGAGTGAGACATCTCGGTGTGGTCCCGATTCCACGATTCCTACTATCTCTAAATCTACTTGGGCACTGGTCAGCATTTTTGAATTCAAATGAGTCGTGGTATATACCTTTGCCTGTACACTAAATATTGCTTTGACGTCCACGCTCAGTAGTTAAGAACTTCGGGCATTACGTGAAAGGTAGTGTGGTGTAGTGGTTCCTAAAGCAACCAGTTTTTTTAATTTATTTTCCAGAACAAAATTATTTACATTGGTTCTTAAATCTAACCTTCTGCAACCCCTGTAACGGGGTTGTACGTAGGTAGCTACAGTCATCGCATAGCATGATACGCTTTCATTTAGAAAAACAGAAATAAAAATATACTTAATTAAAACAAATAATATTACACAAAAGAAATTGTAACTATTACTACCAAAAATAATATTTTTTAAGTTTTGTTTACCTCAGGAATCAAACTTTTTTCAGTAGTTTTTTGTTTATTTTATTTACTGTATTCCCTTTACTGTGTTCCCATATAACATCGCATATAATATCTTGACGGTTGAAAGGTAAAAAGAATAAAGGACATTTTCGAATTTGTTAAGGAGAGAGGTTTAATTCAATTTTCAATTAAATTAAAAAATATATATTTTAGACATTGTCCACATCGCGTTATTTACAGAAAGCTTATGTATAAGTATTAGATCAATTGTCATAAAAAGAATTACACTATGTTATACAACAAACCTCTGGAACCCTTGTGTGTGAAGTTCCATTGCGTGGATGTATCGTAGGCAGGGCATTCTGAAACCAACCAATATAAGGCAGTTTGAGCTGTCATCCATGCTACGCATCTGGAAGTCGGTTCTCTTGCGTATTATCGCACCGAAGTTGTGTCAGCCCGTTTGACCGAAATTTGAATCTGCTATATAGAAATAAGTATTATGAAGTTATGCTAAGCATGAACAAATTACAACAGTGTAGCACAGTGCCTCTTAGGGTCGTATTCCAAAACTCTAATCAATACTCAAGTCAGGACTTGAGTATTGCAGTGAGCACTGAAAATCATACTCAAGTCCTTGCCATTAGGGTCGTATTTCCAGTGCTTGAAATCATACTCAAGTCTACTCAAATCCTGACTTGAGCATTGAGTAGAGTTCTACAAGCTCCGCGCCTAGCAGCAGCTGCGCCTCGCGGCTGCTCACTTTGGTGCACTGTACTGTACATTCTATCACATCAAACCAATTTCTTTAGGAGATAAGAGTCAAAATCGATTATTAGGTTTTCGCGATTGTTACACAAAGTAAATGAAACTATTGTTCCGGATTTAATACGCGTATATTTGTTTCTTTCAAACAAACCAACGTTTCGGGCCCTTTAAGAGTCAAAATGCTAAAATGTAGATTATAATATTTTACACCAAAAATGTATCTCCGGCCGCTGGTCTTTCAGTGTGACTTGATATCTATCTATGTATTAGGTACTTATACCCCGTATAGTCTTTTTCTTAGCCCAAGGAACCACTATATCTTTTAATTATCGATATTATTTCTCTGTATTTCACACCTCGGTAGATCTAAATGAAAATATTCCATTTTTTAATTTACGCTCTGAAGGCCCTCAACAAGACTTATTAGAAGTTAAAACATACCACATTTTACAAACTAGGCACACGCGTTTTTAATCTAGTTGTTTTTTACTTACCTACAGCGTCGATGTAATCTTTGTCGGTATACAGAAAACTATGTAGCAAATTCTAAAATAGTTTTTTTTTGCAGGCTTTACGGGTCAAAGCGGTGCGCACGGTGCAACACGCCTATTTTGGCGTCGGAGCTTGTGATGCGCGCGCGTGACCTGGTATTCCACGTGCATTGCTTCTCTTGTGCACTCTGCAGTTCACCGCTCACCAAGGGAGACACCTTCGGCATTAGGGATTCGGCCGTTTACTGCAGGCAAGAGCTACCTATAATTATCCGTTTAATATTTATCTTAGTGTTCAGAACTACGTCTTTTCTTTAACTTCGTGTCGATGGCAAACATTATAATGCTAGTTAAAATTATTAATACAAAGGTCGAATACTAAGAAAAAATTCCTTCGATCCGGGTGGATTCCAACCGAAAAGTTGTTAAGCAAAAGATCTGCAACAAGCGCTGAAAAATTCGTAAGGTCCGCTAGTTCTTTCCGTAGCTTAGTTGGCATAGCGTCTGCCACGGTTTGCTGGAAGACATTGGTTCGAATCCAGCTGAATTAAAGGATTTTTTTCTTTAATAATTATTAGGGATCGGAATAGGTAGAGTTTTTGTACCTGAACTTTGAGGAACATAGACAGAAAATGGAGACAGCCTTACGACAGTATTTTTAGGTCCTGGACCTGTTCTGGTTTCGGGAAATCATTTAAGAACACTAAAAATTGACATAATTGGGAACAAGCAGGTACATTATATTTATTTTAACTTTGCGACATAATTGGATCAGCGATATTGCGGACATTGGATTTTTTTCACGATACCTCTCTAAAAAATGGCAATCGAGAGATCCTATTGTCCTAATTAAATATTTTCGCATTACATTTTGCCACAGAACTTATATTTTAGTAGGAAAAAAATAAAACGTATATTTTTTGTATGGGACCATACATTTAGTGCCCCATCGTTACAAAGTCTTAGTCTATCCAGTCTTGGAATCACTACAGATGTATTATTTAGACATATCTTCTATAGATTCACTAAATGCCTTCTCAAATCTGCCTATTCACTGTTTATACGTGTTAGAATATGTGCAATATAAAATAAAAAATATTGTCGTAAGGCAGTCTCCATTTTCTGTCTCCATGTTCCTCGAAGTTTAGGTAAAAAAAGTCTACCTATTTCGATCCCTGATAATTCATAACAAACTAGCCGAGTAATTTAATTTAATTTCATTTTGAGTAATTTAACATCATGATAGTCAAACATTCATCTCGCGTAAAACCTTGAGTTAGTTAATGTACGCTCCACCTGTAAAATTCTAAGGCATGCAGGCATACGATTAAGCTCTTTCTCTCTCCTACAGGCTGCATTACGAAACCATGCCGGAGTACGGGCCCCACATGCCGGTCCCTGGTCCCCCCCAGATGTGCCCCGGACCTTACGTAGGGCCCCCGCCGGGCTCTCACTACACCCCATACCCATCGCCCGAGTTTGCGCGTGTCGAGCCCGATGTTCCTAAAGGCCCCTTCTTTAATGGCGCCGCAGCACCCCCGCCCCGGCAAAAAGGACGTCCCAGAAAAAAGAAGCCTAAAGATCAAGATCTGATGACCGCCAACCTTGGTGAGTGAAGCGATGTTATCTATTGCGCCAGTGCGAATTGCAGTCGTCAACGTTGTACACGTATGCATAGTTATATACTTAGATTCTGGAACGCATCCAGTGATGCTCTTACATAGTCCACAGCAAACTTGTTGGCTCACCACCCTCTTAGACAAGATAAAAAAAATTAACGCCTAACACCACAAAAAATAATTGAGAACACGTGTCTTTTATGTTAACTTAACACAAAAAAATATATACATATATTTGTACTGTAGTTTATGTAGATAACTAAGGTTTTTTAACCGACTTCAAAAAAAGGAGGAGGTTCTCAATTCGACTGAATGATTTTTTTTGTATGTATGTTACGCGATGCCTCCGGTATTTGTGAACCGATCTTCATGATTCTTTTTTGTTTGAAAGAGGGTACCTAGGGTACCTCCATAGTGGTCCCATTTCATTTTGGAGAAAATCATCCACCTCTAAGGGTGGCTGATCACGCATGAACATTATTTTTTATAAATAGCGCCTGAATTTTACTTAAAGAGCAATTATTTTAATGGTTGGTTTTGCTATTCTCCAATTCAAGGCGTTTTTCTCTGAATATGCTTTGAGTTGTGAGAACCGATTTTTATTACCTCCTGTGTCAAGTCCCGTATAGTGGCGAACTAGGGGATATTTCAATAAAACTTAGCAAATAGACGTAATTCCACGTGCTTTTGAGGTCGGTTTTTTTAGTACTCTGTACGGAGATTATTTTCAAATGCGTTAGCACTCCCAAGTAGCACCAACGTTTCTGAGGCCCTAGGACTCTTCAGCGCCCACTGAGGGGCGCTAGGGACCACTTTAAGAAACTATGTACGATACGTCACAAAACGCGATAAATTGACAAAGTCCAAAAAGCTCGTAGCCGCTGCCATTTTGCGTCCAAAACGAATATTGATATAAATTCGATGCCCGTTCGTTTCGCCGACAAAACGGTTACAATTTTATTAACACATTAAAGTCAAAACTGCATTTACCTCACCAGATTATCGGAGGCGACTTCCCGTGCGTTTTTTTCGACTTTTTACTTTTTCAAGATATCGAAACCTGTATGTTTATCTTGCCGGCAGCAGCGCCGCCGGCTCGCTCCCTGGCGAGAATTCCACTTCAATTTTGAAATTAGAACTTCGAATGTTGCCTGTCGATAAGCTAAAATGAAAAAGAAGAATAAAATGAAACGTATTTTAAGAATTAAAAATAAAGTTTTTGCACAACATTTTACACTGAATAGCAATGTAATAGTGCAATACAATTAATTGATACACTTATAGTCGATTGGTGCTTGCTCCAATGGCTTGATAGAGTCATTATAGGAATAACTGCGGCTTAATCACTTGAAACTTGAATAACATTATAATTTCGCTACCTCTCTGCTTGAATAAAAAAAGTGTTACTAGTAATGCAGTAATGAAAATGCCTTATCGGCTAAATCTTAATGCTACAGCTAATAGCATGTAATTGTAATGCTTAATTTATTTGCGAACTTACTGTGTGTTATTGAAATTTTTGTGAAGAGTGGACCTTCATGAAATTCTCTCTAAATTCTGTTTATTGATCACTTCGGGTTTGCGGAACTTGGTTCAAAATTTGACAAAGTATACCGATAGTAAGTTTTTTTTAAATGCTCAATTTAATACGATTAAAGATAACAATTTGTTTGTTATCATGTGTAGACATAGTTGATTACAAAACTTGAATGCTAAACAAAATAAACCGGTCGTGTTTCAAGGAGTGTTCAAATTTTGTCACGTAGTTACTTTGTTGAATATATTAGGGCATTGCTTTGTTGTACGTGGTGACTGTAAAGGTGCGGTTTACTCTTTATAACTTCTCGCTTCTGTCGTAACTTCGATCTCACTTGAAACTCACAAACCCTATCTGAAATAGTGAATGCTAAATACTTTAACTTTATCGTCAAAATCAATAGCCGTAGTAGCCTACCGCATCCCAAGCAGAGGCCGCGGGTTTCCGGGCTTGCAGCTGACTTTTTCGGAATTTATTTTATTTGATATTATTAATTAGTTTTCGTGACGAAAACTGGACGTCGAAGAAGGTACACAACTTTCGGGAATTGTGTGTAGTCCCCAACTCGTATTAGGCTTGTGTGCAGGAATATGGCCTAAACCTTCGATTGAGAGGAGACCCGTGTACAGCAATGGAACGTATAAATGGGTTGATGATGATGGTAATGAATCATCGTCGTAATAATTAATTTGTTTTGTTTTTTCTGTATAAATCTTAATAAGCTGAATAAACTTTTCTTTCTTTCTTTCTCTCTTTCGTCAACCCGTTCAGAGATTGATGTCTTCTAATTCGCCACGCTGATTCCATGTGGGTTTGGGACTGTTGACTTACAGTTTTATATATCCGATGTTCTAAGCTCTATGTTCAATACTAAATAGTAAATAGTTTTGTATGTGTTGGGAAATAATAAATGATATATTATGTTGTATGTACTAGTTCCTGTTCTCGACTTCGTCCGCGTAAAATTTTTACATGCATTGTATATACTACTAAAACACAAATGAAAAATATTCAAATTTGCAAGTGTAAGAAATACGACCATCTATAATTTTTTTTAAATATTTTGATACCCTAACTTATCCCTATTTAAAGGTTCTTTTGGAAATCCCTTCGTTTCGTTGTCTAGGTAGGCATTTTGAAGATCAGCAGAACTACGTAATTTTGGTTTGAACCTTATCCTTAGAGGAGTCCAGTGCCCGGCAGAAGGACGTATATGGCTTAAAAAATAATGATTTGGAGAATACTGGTTTTTTATAGTCGTTATAATTGCTATTAATACCGGGAGTTATTTCTCGGTCGGATTGCGCTCTAAAAATAGTGTTGCTAAATTATCGATAATGAGTCATCGATTACTTTTAATGTAAAATAGGTTCACGCTTGGATACTTTCTTAGCTTATGTTTACTGGCGATGTGTCCGACACACTTTGTGTGTTAATAGGAAGGCACGGAATTATTGCACAAAATAGCACTGTCTTTATATATACGAGCAAATTTAGTTCACTAATAAATTAACAATACTTTCATAGATATAATGTCGATATAACAGTTATAGTCGGGTATTTTAATTAAAGTTAATAAATCGAAGTTTTTTTATTCGGTGTCGGAGCCATCTTCCGCTGCTACGACCATTAATTGATCTATTGTAAAACTAGCCTTAAGAGGGTTCCTAGTTTTGATGAAATAAAAATAGTATTTTCTCAAAGGATCGACTTCACTAATTCATTCATCATCTGGGTATTTTTTTGTAATAGTTAGTAGATATTTAAAAAAAATCTAGAATGTGATAACAGAAAAAGGATACTACTATAATGATAGATACATGACTCTATTACTATAATTCATTGAGAACTGAACCAAACACACCACAAAAGTGACATTAATGCCTGTCAGTTTGTTATCTCTAATTAAAAATCCGACGTCAGTTATTATTGCTTTTTCTATAACCTCGCTTCCATATATATAAATTCACGCTGATTATAAGCATAAACATGTATTAACACGATACAGATGTAGCCTTAAGTCACTAATAATATCGATAACATTTGTCGATAAATCTATCAACTGTACCTCACTATTACATAAACTGTGGGGGCGAAATAGAACAAAAGCTGGTTTCTCACGTGGTTGTTCGGCGAAGCTCGCGTGCGGACGCCGAGTTCATCATACATCGTGCATTAAATAACCGCCTTCTTTATATTTATACAGGGTGTTCACTTAATTGCGATACATTGTAATTATTAAACGCATGATTAGATATATGTAAAGAAATAGTAATGTAAATTTTATTCCCTACAATCCAACACGGCACAATTCTTTTAAATAGCAAGAAATATTACTACTAAACTTTCACTAATTGCCCCTGTACGTCGAGCGGGGAGGCTCCTTTCGTGCACATCCACATACGTTACATACTCGTATATGTATTTGTAGCCCCACAAATGTATTTAGAAATTAAAATCATATAAGCCGCCGTCGGGATTTGAACTAAGGACCTCTCAAAGCATGCGCTCGTTCTCTAGCCTACCACCTCACTAATACTACCACTATTAATTGCTTAAAGCAGAAATGACGGTAACAAAAATATATAATGAACACGTAATTAATTTCATGAATGTAGTTACTATTAAACTTAGGTACGTGAATATCTTAATACCGTGTTGGAGTACAGGGGATAATACATTTTTGTGATAAGATGTTTTTGTTTCTATTTATTTATGAATACCTGATCAAACATTCAATACAGACATTTTGTTGTAGGTTTGATGGGTCTCACTAAAAAATAGACATTGTCATTATAAGTAATTTAGCGTTTAAAACCGTTTGCGTAGCTTTATAAGTGTACACAAATATTTAACATTAATTTTTAATGTTAAAATGTTTATTACTTTCTAAACCGTGTAACTTGAGTTCAAATGTTTTTTTTCTTAACTTCAAAGGTAAATAATCGTTTAAATCTTCTACGTAAAATTAACGTTGTTTTTCTTGAAACAGCTCGATGAATTTTCTCACAATAAATGTTTTTAACATTTCTAACAAAACACGGTGATTAAATTTAGCAAAGAAAATTATATACTTTACAATCTTCTCGCAGTTCGCGGTAAATCGTCTGTAAAAAATAGTTTATATTCTTGTTATCTTCGTTGGTTTAATTACGTGGTTATACTATATAAATAGTAAGTGTTGAGTGTGGCGGAAAAAGCATGTAAGTAGGATGAGAGCTGTAGAAAGAGGAGCCTTACTTACTGACAGAACGCCGAATAGTATAAGTTATAGAGCGTTATATTACGAAAGATGGCGACGTGATCAGGGCAGAAAAGGGAATTCTGGGTTTGGTCATGTAGTAAGGATGGATGTTGGTTCATTGTTCTCTTAAATTTATAGAATTAATGCGGTCGGAAAGGTGGGAAAGCCCAGGGGAAAGGCCAGGTTAAAAATACCAAGAATGAACGAT